TGAGAATTGATGCTTACTTGGGTATTTGAATCCTGTTTAGTATACTTGAAACTGTATTCTTGTTTTGTGTATTTAGATCATAATTAGTATACTTGAAACTGTATACTTATTTTGTGTATTTAGACCTCATTTAGTATACTTGAACTTGTATCCTTGTTGGAGTGTCTAAACTCTATTTAGTATACTTACGCTTAGTATGCTTGTTTTGTGTATTCGGATTTCATTTTAGTATACTTGTGCCATGTGTACTTGTCTTGTGAGTAATTGTTTAGCTTAGTATACTCATGTTTGTATACTTGATTTATGAGTACTCTATATGTATATCGAATACTTGTGTAGGTATGTTGGATATTGCTTTTCTTGTTTAACATGATTTAGAGTACTTGAACATATATGCTTGTATGTTGTGTATCATGTTTTATTACGGTTTAGCGTATTTGAGCATGTATACTTGTATGCCATTGTTCAATTCAATTGCATGAGTAGCTTAGGATGCTCCCTGAGTCTCATTTTGATATAGACGTTAGGTGGCATGAGCCTCTTTAACAAGTTTCACCTTAAGGTGATATAATTGTAAAATGCTAGGTCGATGCATGCTCATCTCCTACGAGTAGCTTTATGTTAGTCACCCATATAGTGGGGACATTTTTCAGGTACAGGACTCAAGATTTGGAGAATGCACTTGCCTTGGGCAAATTGTGGCTTCTTATGACGAAATTTGTATATTTTTTCTATTTATGTAAAGTGTACATGAGTACACTCTTTTCAATGTATTTGATATGTATGGTAGGAGGCCAAGGGCCAAGCATGTTTATATTTGTACTTGCATTCATTTGACACCACATTTTGTTGAAAATGTATTTTTATCAACTTTGGAGGTTTGACATGTCAAATGTTGTAAATGAATTGTAATAAGGCCGTAGGCCATTGTAGCATGTTTAATATGTTATTTTACACTTGCGTATATGTTCATATCATCACACACTAGTATTCAATTAAGTTTGATCATGCCATGGGGGATTCAAATAAGACTTAGGGACTTTTCTTCATTTTTTATGCATGGCAGGTTCATTCAGCACATTTTTGACCTGTTTTGGTCGACCGGTGGCTTGTTTCGGTCGACCGATGCCCTTTGAATTTCAATTAAACAGTGAAAACTCAATTCCAGTAGCCATTTTTCATCTCGAGCCACAAAGCAGTCGACCGGTTTGTCATTTCGGTCGACAAAAATGAAGGCTCATTTCCCCATCTTTTTCTGGCTCATTTCGGTAAGCCGAAGTTCCATTTTGGTTGACCGAAATGGAGCTGCTTTGTAGGTCTTGTTTGGTTTGTTGCCTAGACAGGTTAACTTTGTTTGTTATTCCTACAGGACCTTGTTTATCTTATTTGAGCCATCCTATGGCACATATGGTCTAGTTTGAACTAGATTTTGCTCATTTGGTTGTCATTGGTGTTATAGGGTATCAAGTGACCTTTTCATTCTAACTTTCGCTTTCGATTATTCCTTTGGGTTCCATGACCTCATGGAAGGTCATCTTAGGGTCTTAGAGGTGTGTTATGCCTTGAGAGACCATTGTCTTGTTTATTTTGCTTCCGCATCTGGATCCGTATCGGGTCAATTTTCGGTTCATCATAGGACACTGGGTTGAAAAATGCAAGGTCACGACACTTTTTGTTGCTCAAATGGCGATGTGATCTTAACATCTACTCTTGTCCCAGATGAGTTGTTTGAATTATTCACATCCCAAACTGATGCCTTTGCGAAGGACTTTCGTCGGTACATACGTGCATATAATATCATTTTTTCTTTTACATCTTTCGGAGTCCGTCTTGACAAAAATATCATGATTATGAAGAGTGGTATATATACTTTCCGAGCACAAGGTTAAATATATCATGAATTACCCTCACTCTCAATACATGACAGATCTCCATGTTACCTCCAGTTATACTTCTATGACACTGACAATGAGTTACAAAATAGAATGAATATTTTAAATGACTCGAACTTGAGTGAACCTATTGTTACAAAGTTGATGAACATATTGTCATCAAATCCGTATGCTCAGTTCCTTTGTAGGTTAAAGGATATTCCCGTTTTAGACAACCATGAAATTGTTATTAAAAATGATGTTCGACTTGATCAAAGGGTTTTCAATTCGCCCACAGCAGACCAAGTTGCAGCTGTTTGGATAGAAAAAGCATACCCTGACATGCGCTTAGAGCATGACATAATTGTCGTTGCACACTCCGGTAGAAAACACAGAGTGAGACACTATTTTGGATGTTATGATTCACTGCAATATCCTCTATTATTCCATATGGTGAGATCGGATGGCATCGTAATATCAAGAATCGTCGTCAGCCATACCCTGGGACAGATATTACACATGAAGATGATATCTTCGATGATTCCATTGTAACAGGATCTAGAGAAGGTAAATACAATTATCAATTTTCATTTATTAATTTTAAAAATAAAACTCTCCTACAATTCAAAATATCAATTTTTTTAACTCTTATACAAATTGAACATGTAGGTGCCGAAGGAAGAAGAGCTAAAAAAAATTCATGTAGACAATATTATTGTTACAAGCTTCAAATCCGCAACCAGGACCGATCAATTCTCTTATATGCCGGGAGATTGTTGCAACAATATAGTGTTGATATGTACATTAAGATTGAAACAACACGTTTGGATTACTATCGAACTGAACAATCACATATTGGTGCCGAGCTATATTAAGGAATTGTTGATAGTGTTGTGGCCGGAGAAAATAGAGGAAATAATGTTGGGAAAAGAGTGGTTCTTCCTTCATCCTTCATTGGAGGGCCTAGGGACATGTGAAAGAGATATTATGATGCGATGTGTTTGGTTCAAAGATTTGGAAAGCCAGACCTTTTCATCACAATGACCTGTAATCCTGATTGGAATGAGATCAAAGAGGAAATGAAACCGGGACAGTTAGCTCAGGATAGACAAAATTTAATAACAAGGGTGTTTCGAGCAAAGCTATATGACCTTAAGAAACAATTATTTCAAAAACTCATATTTGGAAAAGTGGTTGCACCTGTTTATGTGATTGAATTTCAAAAAAGAGGACTACCACATGCACACATGTTGCTTATATTTGAATTTAAGCATAAGATTACAGATGCAGATCATTATAATAAGTTTGTTTGTGCCGAAATCACAAGTGAGAATGAGAATCGAACACTTTATGCTAAAGTAGTTAAACACATGATGCATGGGCCTTGCGGAGATTTAAACGTAAAGAACGCTTGCATGAGGGATGGTAAATGTAAAAATCATTATCCTCGACAGTTCAATGAGCAAACGATACAAGGTCAAGGTTGTTACCCTATGTATAGAAGAAGAAAAGATGGTCCGACAGTTAGTGTGCCTAATGCAACTTTAGATAATAGATGGGTTGTTCCCTATAATCCACATCTTCTGCAGAGGTACGACTGTCATATTAATGTTGAGATATGTTCAGGGTTCTCAGCAGTCAAATACCTTTATAAATATATTTAAAAAGGGCATGATCAAGCCGCAGTTTACTTATCAAACACTGATGGTGATGATATTATTGATGAAATAAAAGACTATCAAGAGGCAAGGTGGGTATCACCATATGAAGCAATTTAGAGAATTTTTGAGTTTAATTTAAATGAGATGCATCCTTCCATTATCAACCTTCAATTGCATCTCCCCAATAAACATATGGTATGGTATTGGGAAAAATAGAATCTCGAATATGTGGTTCATTTCGATGGTATATCAGAGACAATGTTAACTGAATTCTCCATCTAAATTCCATGTGCGAAGAATCTAGAGCTTTTCTGTATAGAGAAATCCCAGAGCATTTTGTGTGGAACAAGCAAACCAAGCGCTGGACTACTAGAAAAGCGAAAAAGGTAATTGGGAGAGTCAACGCAGCCAACCCTTCTGAAGGAGAACGGTACTAATTGAGAGTGTTATTGAACCACGTGCGTGGACCAACATCATATGCCGATCTATTAACTGTTAACGGGGAGAAATGTCTGACATTTAAAGAATCAGCATAAATAAGGGGTCTTTTTGAAAGCGATAACAGTATTGTAAAATATCTTGACGACGTCGTGTGCTTCCAAATGCCAACGGCACTCCGCCGCCTTTTCGCTACTCTACTGGTTTATTGTGAGCCCAGTAATGTCAGAAAATTATGGGATGACTATGTTGATGTAATGTCAGAAGATTTTCCATGCACAAGTACTTCTTCTGCAAGTTATCGAGCCAATGAAGCTCTTAAGAGTATAGATGGATACTTAATGAGCATAGGGCGAAGTGTAAAACAATTCAACTTGCCAAATATAGTGTCCCGTGATGTATGTAATCACAGTTCTACCAAAGAGATTGACAATGAATATGCCATTGTTACGCCTTCTGAAGATTACAATGTTGTGGCGACTCTAAACGCTGAACAAAAAAATGCATATGATATGATAATGGAATGTGTTCTCTCAAACAAACCCGGCATCTTTTTCATTGATGCCCGGGTGGAACTGGCAAAACATATCTATATCGTGCAATACTAGCAAAGGTTAGGTCCGAAAAAAAGATAGCTCTTATAACTGCTTCTTCAGGAGTCGCATCTTCGATTTTACCTAGTGGCAGGACCGCACATTCAAGATTTAAAATTCCAATATTAGCAAACGAGTCTGCAGTTTGCAACATTTCAAAGCAAAGTTCAATAGTAGAGCTAATGCTTAAAGTAAGTGTCATTATTTGGGATGAAGCACCAATGGCTAAACGTTATGCAATTGAGGTAGTTGACAGGACTCTCCAAGATCTCCTCAGTACTATGGAACCTTTTGGAGGAAAAGTAGCGGTCTTTGGTGGAGACTTTCGATAAGTATTGCCTGTTGTACCTCGAGGGACCCAGGCTGAAACAATTAGAGTAAGTTTGGTAGAATCTTACTTATAGAAGAAAATGAAAAAAATATAGCTGAAACAGAATATGAGAGCAAGAACTGATCCTTCATTTGTAGATTTTTTACTACGTGTTGGCAGTGGGGAAGAACCAGTTCTGGTGGATAACATGATCAAGTTGCCAAACGAGATGGTAATAAAATCTACAAATGAGGAGGATTTAGAAAAAGATTTGATAAATGTTGTTTTACCCCACCTCTTCAAAAATGCACACTCAGCGGAAAATATTACAAATCGAGCAATTTTGGCAACCAAAAATGATTTCATTGACAAATTGAATGAGAATCTCATTGACCAATTCCCAAGCGAACCGACTACATATTATAGCTTTGACAAAGCTACTGATGATACGGGGACCTATTACCAAGAAGATTTCCTTAATTCATTGGCTCCAAATGGCCTCCCGCCACATAAGTTAACGTTGAAAGTTGATTGTTCTATAATGTTGTTGAGAAATTTGGATCCGACAAATGGATTGTGAAATGGTACCAGGCTCATCTGTCATGGAACAAAGGCTAATGTGATCAACGCAGAAATTAGCCATGGACAACATGCTGGAAAACAACTACTGATTCCAAGAATACCCCTATGCCCAGCAGAGAATGAAGCTACGCCTTTCTATTTTACACGAAAACAGTTTCCATTCCGGTTGAGTTTTGCGATGACAATAAGTAAGGCACAGGGCCAAACAATTCCTTATGTTGGAGTTTATCTACCTGAGCACGTGTTCTCCCATCACTACAAGAAAAATAGTTTTTTACCACGCCCTTTCTACCACAGTTTTAAAATAACCGTGGTAGAAAGAGTCACTTTCTACCACGATTATTTTATAACCGTGGTAGAAAGTCTTTCTTCCACGGTTATAAAATAACAATCGTGGTAGAAAGTGACTCTTTCTACCACGGTTAATAAAAAACCGTGATAATAATTTATTCTACCACGGTGTAGGCACCGTAGTAGAAAGTGAATTTAGTTTCAGGCACTAATACGCGGGTCTTATTCTCGCTAGTTTCTTAAAAAAAAATTTAAGAATATATATTTTATACACACAGACAATACTTTAGGGCAAATCATTTCAGCCTCCCCAATCGCCTTCGTCTCTATTCTCGTTCTCAACTCGGCCCTCTCTCTGTCTCTGTAACTGCGACAATACTTTAGGGTAAATCATTTCAGCCTCCCCAATCGCCTTTATCTCTATTCTCGTTCTCAACTCGGCCTTCTCTCTGTCTCTGCAACTGCAAAGTACAAAATCTACAAGAATCAGAACCCATCTTGGCATATCATTTCAGATTGTTTAAAAAATCAAAACCAATATCCTTCAGTTTCTGTCGCCCACTATTCCAGTTCGGGTTCGACGTTCTCAAGCTTCAACCTCTGGCCTGCTGTCTCTCAAATCTCAAGCCCTCTCTCTGCAACTGCTAACTTGTATGTATGGGTTTTGTTTTAATATTTTTTATTATTATTTTATGAATTTTAGTTATAAATGTTTGTGAAGATAATGACTAAAATAGGATCTCCCTTTGCAGGCTTTGAAAGAGTAATTGGTAAATTTGGGTTGAACTTGAGTCTTGAACAAGCTAAAGGTTATACAAATAAGTAATTTCTTCAATTATTCAACATAAATAATTTTAGGGCAAATCATTTTAGGGCAATTATTCAACATAGGCTCTTATCATGGCTATTACTTTAATGTTGAAAGCATGGGTCCTTGTCGTGGCCATTACTTTATTACATTGATAAAACATGGGAGTAGGGGAACATCGTATGTGGTTGATTGTTATTTGTTGTTGATTGATGTGAAGTTATTGTTGGTTGTTGTGTACGTGAGGTAGAAAGTTTCTTAGCATTCCTCTCATTCCAATTTTGATCATCACATCACTCCAATGGAATACCACAATGTGAATCTTGGTTATCTAGACCCCAATATGATTTAACAACCTCCTCTAGGTCAAATCCCTCCCGGAGTTCAAGCTCCAAAGCCTAGAGGACTTGTGTTTCTTGTACATATGTTTCACTTTTGGCCGGTAACATGGGGCTTAGGCTAGCTTTTTTTTTTTTTTTTTTTTTTTTCCTGGGTAAATGTGGAAATTTTTTTTATAGATTTATCAAGAATATACAAGTAACAACAAGGGCATCCCCTTGGAAAATAAAACAAAAAATTGTAAACACAAGGAACTATAACTACAGAAGCGTAGTTACAGTAAACAAAAGATGAAAGAAAAAAAAAAAAAAAAAAAAAAAAAAAACACCCAATTTAAACATGTAATGAAGCTACCCTAAATTCCCCTAATTCCATATTTGATAGAAGCAAAACCTCTCCACAAATAGACTGGGCAATGTTAGTAGCAGTTCTATGAAGTCCATGATGTAACCTCTTATTCCTCTCATCCCATAAAAACCATATTATTGTAGCACAGATACTTTTTTGTGCCTTGTGTTTTATTCATTGCTGAACAAACCAAAAAATGAGTTGCTCTAGTGTAATAAATTGAGGCATCTGCCAACCAAGGAGTGTAGATAAACACTGCCATACCTCTTGAGCAAAAGAACAACTGACAAAAAGGTGATCTAAATCGTCTTCTGTTTGAAAACAATTATGACAGATTGCCACAGTTGGGATTCCCCTACTCTTTAATTTAACAAAGCACAACAACCAGTTCTAGATTGCAAGGACATAGCTCAGTGAAGCTCTCGGTCTCGATCCAATCCAACATACTTCATACCAGCCCATTGTTGGTAACTTGGTCCTCCATATATCCCATATATTCCTAAGCAAGATTGAACCATGTCTCCATTTCAATTAATCACAGCCCTGCTTCAAAGCAAATAAAAAGCAAAATTTCTGAATTGCAGCACTGAATTGGCATTGCTTACAGGGAGTTGCCACTGCCCATCATGTATGATTCTGGAAATGAGAGCTTGTTTTGGAAGCCCAAAGTCCCTGTACACTCTATCTCCCAGTTTCTCCAGCATATGTACACCTTGTTTTGCTAATGTTCCTTGAGGTTGTTAATTATCCGCTGTAGCACATTGGAAGTGTATTGAGGTTGTTTAAGTATAATTGGGACAATGAATGGACTATGAATTTTTTATTGGATGATCTTTGGAGAATTTATTTGGACGGTTTCCGAATCATGTTTTGTTTGTGCCCCTAATTTCGGGTCGTTACAGATTAAGTACATGGAGAAGAAGATGAGGGATCTCTTGTGGGGATCAAATTCTGAGAATAGAAAATTACATGCTTTAGGTTGGAATAGAGTGACAAGTCCGAAGGTTGTTTTGGGGTGAGGAAGATTGTAGACATCAATGGAGCAGCTACCTGTCCAACAAAACAATTTCTGATTAATACAGCTCTATCTCCCGTTTGGATCAATACAGCTCCTTGGAGAAATTTTTGAGTTTCAGAAAAATTGAAAGAAAACTGAATTTCCTATCCAAGAAAACAATTTCTGATTCCCCATTATCAATTCCATCATTCAAACCCACAAGGAACATCAGCAAGAAGTCTCTAGATATCCATAGGGTAATTTAGATACATGGATAACCACATGAAATACTCAATTTACATCAATTCCCAAAATTACAATTGAATCAAGCATTTTATGCTTTTGTGTGCTAAGAAACCTTCAAATTTTGACAATGCACATTTTAACTTATTAATCCACATAAATAAGGTAATATTTTCAATTAATTTTGTGGCATCTTAAGAAATAATCTATTGTTGATGTTATTATCTTACGTTGTTTTGTGGCCAACTGTTGGCCTATGAGTTTTGTCATTACTTCAGAATCATCCTCAAGGCAATTTTGGCTTCATATTTTGATTTTCTATTCTAGATTATGCTTTAAAACCAACCCTCCTTATGGATGTGCAATATGACTTACTAAAATCATCATGCCACTTTTTCTTAGTTAAAAGGGAAAAGAGTAGAACAATAGTTGTAGAAATGTTAACTTTTCCAACTCTTCCATCACTCCTGTTAGATTAGTTGGCATTTCCATCTAAATTTTAAAGGTAACTGAAAATAAGTGAAAAAATGAAGGAGGTTAATGTAAAATGAGGAGCGTTGGCATAGACTGAGCCAAGTGTCCATATGGAATCTGTTGCAACTTTAATTTATTAGACAATGTTGTGGTCAAAACTATACTTATCATTATCATTAATGTGGATTAAATTGCAACCAGTTTTATGGTCACTTAACTGTGAATATTGTTTCTGTATTTTGATTTTTTTTTTATTTTTACTATGGTGCAATGGTAAAAGCTCAGATTGACAAGCGTGAAACGCTAGTTCAAGTCTTGAGAGTAGCCAGTCATTGCAAAATAATGTGTCCAGTCTTCCTCTCCGAGCACCATATGTAGGCAGGACAACAATAAAATTTTTAAATTTTGACATTCCTCAATTAGTCAACATACACCAACATGGTGTATAGGAAGGAAACAAAAAGTTGTGCCTAATGGGAATTCATGATACAGCCCTTTCTTGCAATGTACTTATATTCCTTAAATGGAAAAAGAGAAGACTTGACCAGTCGTTTAATTGAAGCAGGGAGATTGTTCAGCCCTTGATATTTGGGTTTTAAATGTTCTGTTCCTCTTTTCTTGTACAGCATATGGTTATATACTTGTAGATGCAAGGTTTTGTGCGACACCTCTTTCTTCCTTCTGCAACTCATATTATCTAGAGCTTGAGTAATGTTGGATATACTTAACAAGCATGTGTATAGCCTGTGGAGTGTGGAGATATATTAGTATGACTTCAAATTTTTTTTTTCCCCCTCCCGATATCTATTGTATTCTGTATGCAACAATTATGCCTTTCTAATTTGGTTATCTTTTTTTATTTTCAATCATTTGCACCTAAAATATGATCCACATGCAAGCATGTAAGAGTAATATCAGACTGTGTTGTTTCATATGTTCATTAGAGTTTATATTTCAATATTCCATTCTCTCATTAGAATTACAAATTGTCTTCAGGTAGGACAATGGTGATTAATGTGGAATACAATCAGCTCAATCCTCTGCTTAGGACTACTGGATATGCTGAAGGTGACGTCAATTCTGAAATAGGCTTTTCTCCTTTTCCTAGAAATATAAACCAAGTACATTTCTGTTTTCGTTTCCTGATAACTGCATACATTCTGAAAGCATGTCCTTTTTGTTCTCATATTCTTCTCATTACACAGGCTCTTATCTTAGGGGTGGTTATTATTTCTACATGTTCATAAATTTTGAGTTCTTTTCTCTATTTAAGGCTGTCATTTCTTTGGTATGTCTTCAATTTCAAAGGACTTAGACTAAGTGCTTCTGTCAACCTTGGTTAGGTTGAGAATGAGCCACTCTTAATGTTTAGGTCCTTATTTATTTGAGCTGTTTCTCTATATATGGCTGTTCTTTATTTGGAATGTCTTCAACTTCAAAACCTATATACTAACTGCTATGGTCATCCTTGGTTAGGTTGAGAATAAGCCACTATAAT